TCTTCGATGTGATGAGCGAAACCTTTAACCTTGGCACTACCCCACCACCCCAAAGTTTGTAGAAAGGTGGGCTGCTAACGAATTCATCAAATGTAGTTGGAAAATTTTGTGGGAAACAGGCTCTGTCATAGATGATGAGTTTTGGTTATCACAATGTAAGACCACTGAAATACCATGACTTACATTAACATGGATACCCCACTGAGTAGCGATTTACTGTCTTCGAATCGACTCGCCCTTGTTTGATCCCCTTGATGCCGTGGGCCAGGCAGGGTGTCTACAAGTACTATTCCCCAAAATGTACTTGTTCGACGCGACAAGGGGATCAGTCAACCAACGTTCCGCTCTCCCAACAAACGCTCTATCCACTAGACAAATGAGACTATTGAGGAATGAATAGAGAATGAGATGTTTTCATTGATCACATACGTGTGTCAAGTACTAAAAAAACATTACAATTTTCTACCGTCACTAAAACTAACACTCCATTTCCAGGTAACCTGTTGTAGATTATGTCCCTTTTGTAACTTTTCCATAAATGGATCAGTGGTCTTACTCAAATTAATGTTGATTGCCGAATATCGTACCCCAGTGGTAAAATGCATTTCTCCTCAGGTCAAAGACACAAATGGCATTTCCAACCATAAGCACACATAAGAAAACTCCACTGCATTCTATTTAGAATATATGACTTGAATATAAAGGCGATTTTTCATGTAGAGACACTTAGAACTGCAACTTCTGTTTAAGCAACAAGGACATGTTCCTCGCCTTCCATACCCGTGGAGGTCGGGGTTAGAATATTGATCTTCAGTAACCCATGCTTGTCGTAAGAGGCGACTAACGGGATCGGGTGGTCAGGCTCGCTGACTTGGTTGACACATGTCATCGGTTCCCAATTGCGTAGATCGATGCTCATGCTATTGATCACTGAATTGTCTGGTCCAGACTCGATTATTTACAGACCGCCGCCATGTAGCTGGAATATTGCTGAGTGCGGCGTAAAACTAAACTCACTCACTCCTCGCCTTCCTAGTCTCTGAATACTGTTTTTCTTATATACTTTGTGAATGTATACATGCATCAGGGCATCCTTAATGTCCCTCCTTGCCTTCTTACAGGACAGTTATCACAAACACTTACTCTTCCATGGTAATTATCTCCCAACATATATGGCTGTATGGATGTCCCACTGGTAACCGTGCATCAACCTACAGCACATCATAGTCATTGTTTTGGAATCTCGAATTCATCCCGATGTCCATGCCATGCATATCCTTATAGATTTGCTTGTAAAACGTAAAGCTCTTCCTCCGTCAATTTAACCCAAATTTAATCCAACAAAAGTAGGAACAAGTGAATGAGTGAGTGAGTAGGTTCTCCCTTTGTTCAGTATTTCAGCATCTTCATCACCAGAGATGGGTTTCCTACCTTGTACTCAGGTGGGGTATCAATACTGTGCCTTCAGCGTGAAGAAAGAATGCTTGGTGTCAAGAAATATAATCTCTATTTCGTCCGTTCTCAGTAGGATTTGGTGTTCCCAAGCATAATATACAGAGGATACTAAACGACCTTCCGTGTAATACCAGTTTTATTAAACGAGTTAGTGCTTTCGCTCGTTTGATGCTAAATCTTTCACGAGTTTAATAAAACTGGTATTTCACGGAAGCAACTTCAGTATTCTGTTTATTACCCTCCAACATAAACTGATAGAAACTGCCTACAGTGTGATGACTCTCATATCAATTTTCCGCGAGTCAAGCAAGGCCCAATACCATTGCGACAGAGGGATTAGCATTGTGACGTCATAACTGTAGCTATTATGACGTCATAATTATGTTTAGCGGTATTACACTAGTGTAATATTGCCGTAAAAATATTACACTGCAGTATCTTCCACGGGCGAGTAATAACGTAAAAATATTACACTGCAGTATCTTCCACGCACGAGTAATAATAACCTGTACCTCTCCTTCAGTTTGTCTTCACGAACGCATTTACAATCACCAACGGCTGAAGGGATGACATACATCCGTCTTGGGTCCATGCAGGTAGCCAAAGTACTATTTATAAGTCCCCATGGTCTCTAGTATGGTGATCTACCTTCAGTTGCTGGTGATCTATAGCCCGTTGTTTTTATATTGTATTGTCTTGCATCATAGTATAGTTTTTAGTTACATGCTAGTTTTATATCTCTATCTGTGATACACTAGTAGTTTTACTGTTCATCGTGAACAGTTTTATAGCTTCTAATATTATAGATCTTTACTGATAATTAATTGTTCTCGTCACGATATGTCTGAAATATTGCCGATGTGATGATAAATATTAACTCACGAACGAACGCATTAATTAGTCTTCACGAACGCATTAATTAGTCCTTGTGTTGCGCTCCCGCTGGTACAGTGAACGCAGTGAATTCATGACACATATCTCACAACCACGAGATAGGCTTATGATTTGATTGATTCCGTTTGATCGACCACCAGTTACGATTGTAATTGAGACATTGATCTTGACCGTCTGTCTGAGACTACAGCTTTCCGGCAGGGTGCCCTCAAGGTGATGTTGGTTTTAAGCACAGGTAGTGACGTGTCTCTCTATACCATATACCATCACAAGGGACATGCATCCATGTAAAGACCTATCTTGTTTGTTTGTTTTTCCAAAAATACGTACGACTTATGTGTTATAGATCTGACTGAAAGGTCATTATGTCCACATGTAAGCATCAATTTACTTATTATTGATTTTGATTTCTTTTAGTCCCCATGGTCCCTAATATGGTGATCTACCTTCAGTTGTTGGCGATCTATAGCCCAATTTTACATTGTACTGTCCAGAAATAATTTTCTAGTTTTAAAGATATATGCTAGCTAGTTTTAACTCAGTCTGTGATAATCAAGTGGTTTTACTGTCCTTCGTTGACAGGGTTTTATATACTATGTATTATAAATTTAGAACTAGTTTTAGTCACGATATGGCTGAAATATTGCCGATGTGACTTTAAATCTTAACTCACTCACTCACTCTAAACACTAACACTGATTTTGAAAAGACCTTAGCGAGAAAGGCCAATTTAAAAATTCATTCAAATCTATGAACTTCAGGAAAAAGGGAATCTGTCAAAAAAAACTTTTATTGATGACTCGTGGCAGTTCGCGGCACAAAAACGCTTTACCTAATGTGTTTACACAAGCTTCAAATATTCTTAAAAAGATTGTTGACATTTCAAGATTCCAATTCACATTTCCTCTGAGATGAGTCTACATGCTGCTTTTCATGGATGGTAATGTTTCAAAATATGCATCTAACTCGAGATGCTGAAGCGTTGGCAGAGAAGGCAGCGACCAAGCTCACAGGGCAGGCTGAAAATCGATGATAGTGGGGATATCTTAAATATCAGGAACACAGTTGGACCTCTTCCATACAGGCCTCTACACAAAGAGGCCGCCCCGTGTGGTGTAGTGGTTAGAGCGTCCGCCCGGAGAGCGGAAGGTCGCGGGTTCGATCCCCGACCGCGTCATACCAAAAGACGTTAAAATATGGTACTTGTTGGTCCCAGCCTGGCGCTCGGCATTAATGGGTACAACAAGAACTGGTCGGCTCGGAGTCAGTATTATGTGTCTGAGTAGGGTATTCATGCTTCACTGCGGCATGGTATCTGAGTGGGCTAGCACTATAAAACCAGCTTCAGTCTGGGCTAGTACAAGCAGCCGCACATACACATACACACGCATGCACGTCGTCATATGAGCGAAATATTCTCAAGCACGACGTTAAACCCAATTTCACCTCACCTCACCTCTACACAAAGTGCAGGCTCAAGGCGATAGCAGCGCTTTCCCGAGTCGCTATCACAGACGGCCAGGGAGATATTGTGTTGATGACAATAAAATCGCCCTAATGTCCTTACTTATTCTCTTTGTATTTTGGTAGTTACAAATGAACATAGTTGTAGGGTTTATATCCAGGACCGCAACATTTGTAATTTCTGGAGCGAAATGTAGTGTGGCGCTTCTGGGCATAGTGAATGGTTCTCTGATATGGCGGTCCCGGTACAGTTCACAGGTGATTAATTAGATTACCGTAGACATTCAAGTCAAGTGTTTACTTAGTGAAAACAGAAATCAGACTATGCATGTCAGTTTTATTCAAATGCAAGACATAAAAGTAACAAAGAGTCATAATATAACAATTCTATATTGACATTAACTTAACACTTGAATAATAGAACATTAATAGAACTTATGACGATCATAATATACATAATACATAATATAAAATAAGCTGGACACACAACGCTATTTATGGGTGAAATAATAACCGCCAAGCGAGTGGTTCGCTGTGATAACCACGAAGCGAATCACAAGCTTAAGGTTGTTATTTCACATATACCACAAGGTCAAAAACATTCTTATTCTAGTTGTAATATTATTAACTGCAATGTGCAGATATAATAAAATAAAAAAATGAATGGTTCTGTATTTATTTATTGAAGATGTTTCCAATAAAACCATTGAGGTAGAGGCCAAGGGAAAAGTTCTTCTCGATGTGCGATACCGGGAATAAGGTGAGGCGAAGCCGAACCTTGTTCCCGGTATGGATCCGAGAGTTGGTCAGATAACACACACGCACACGTTCAGGTGCAACGCAGCACAGCCGGTGAGATGACCCTAGCTGGTCAGGCGCTGTTCCATCAGCCGTTTGTCAACCCCCGGTGTGAAGCGTGAAAATAGCACAATATTACATGATGGTTTCTTACTAAACAACTTTTTCCGTGATCAATAATAAAACGTCCGATTTCAGATCCAGTTGGGTACAGAGGTTTCAGGACCATGTGTCTTACTTAGGTTTTGTGCACTTATCCCAATTTCGAGTTATTTAATCATTTGTCGTTCTCATTTGAACCCAAACGGACTATAAGTGTGCGAAATACGTTCCTGCACCAGAATCTCGTGCAAGTCGAGCCCTAAACAACCACGTGCAATGTCAAACCACGTGATTTAAACTGCCATTACTGCAAATGAATTGCGACAAGGAGATGCTCTTGACTTCTCAGCGAGATGCGACGATTCTGTTCCAGGCCGTAATGGATTTTGAAGCAAACTGGTCATCTGGTAAGTATCGTGCCCTACATAGCATTTGTCTATATCTGTATTTGTACTCAGGGTTTTCTGTCTAGCGGTTCCTTTTACGAAAATATTAGGATATTGGTAGTCATATTAAGCAAGTTAAATTCACAGATAATGAAGTAATCTAAATTAAATTGAATTGCTTGTTATGTATTGATGTGTCTTGTATGTAGATGACTACCTCGTACCACTGTCTTATTCTTCTGATTAACGCTGAGGGAGCCTTCATAATGTATGGGTGTGGGTGTGGGTGTGGGTGTGGGTGTGGGTGTGGGTGTTGGGAGTTATGGGGGTGCATGTAAAATGTGAATGCTCCCCCCTAAACTATATGGGAAAGACATCCTCCCGTAACCCCCGTATTCTTTTTTAATCATTCCATGCCTAAGAATATAGGCCTATGTTTTTTATGAAAAGAAACCTACCCTAAACCTAATCCTAAACCCTACCCCGTCGAAATAATCCTAATAGAATACATTTCAAGCGTGGGTTACGGGTTAAAAAGATACCTCTTTATATATAAAGTGGCCACTCGCCACCCCCACCCCCGCCTGCTTATGTACAAAATTGCTGACTACGCCCACCTACCCCAACCCGTACAGTCCGTTTGAGTCAGAAACGGACCGATGAATTGTAAATTTTATCATTGTACAAAATTGCCACATAAATATAAATAGTACACATGTTTATCATTTGCTAATACCCAACAGCTTTCTTATATTTGAAAATTTTCCGGACTTCACCAAAATAGTTCTTTAAGAAACTATCATTAAAATTTTGACACAGTTCACTATTTGTTACGAAGGAGGAGTGCAGAGAAAGGGACAGCCAGGTGTGCGAGAAAGGATGGAGACGGCGCAGCACAGGCTAATGAATCAATAACTTTGTCGGCACTCGTGCACGTGCTTCCATTGGTCAAGAGTTTGTACTAACCCCAAGTGTTTGGTATTTGAGATTTTCATGAAAACTATAGTTTGGCATGAAATGCATGTGGACCCGTTTTTTTAAATATCTCTTCATCCAATGACCCAATCGATGTCAAACTGTGCAAGTGGATGTTTTGTCAGACAACCTAATCACATTGTAAATCACCGATTTTATGCATTTGTATTAAAGAATATGTCTATGTAACTGTCAACAAAATAAACAGCAGAACGCAGAATGCTTGCAGGGGAGGGAGCCAATGACCTGTAACAGCGGCAGTGTTGGGTCATAAAGGTCAACGTTCGTCAATGTAGGTCAGCTATGCACGTGACAGGTATGAAGAGGTGTTCATTTCTAGCAAATAGCCGACGAATGACATCTCTGGTGACCCTGATGTCAAAATAATCTAACTTTGGATGCCTACCTTTTTGTACAAGGTTTTGTTTATTGGTTGTTGGTTTATTTTTCACAATTTTTAGCACGATGTTCTTTTTCATGCCAAGAGCAAAAGTTGTACGTTTCATGTAATCCGACACCTTATAAATCGGTTTGCTACGTTTGCTCTCTTTTTTAACAAAATTCAACACATTTCTAATTAAACGTTTAGCATCATCTGAATAAGCTTTCATGATGACAGCTAGAAGTAGTCAATGTGAATGATCCAAACGGTCTATCACTGAGCAGTGCACGGGTAACTATCATGAACTGCACGTGCATTGACCTTAATGACCCAACACTGCCGCTGTTACAGGTCATTGGCTCCCTCCCTCTGCAAGCATTCTGCGTTCTTTAATACAAATGCATAAAATCGGTGATTTACAATGTGATTAGGTTGTCTGACAAAACATCCACTTGCACAGTTTGACATCGATTGGGTCATTGGATGAAGAGATATTTTTAAAAAAACGGGTACATGCATTTCATGCCAAACTATATACTTGATATTGATGAATGTAACTTGTTGGTAAACGTCATGTTCACGTTCTATGAATGTATCATCAAATTAATCATTGTTGTAACTCAAATTATTCATTACAAAACTATGAGGATCCTGTCTAAACATCTATTTCATTTTTCAGATGATTCAAGTGACCCTGAGGAGAATGGGAAGGGGGGAAGGAGATCTCGCCGGTTCCAATTTATTAACTGCAGTGTGCAGATATTGTAAAATAAAAAATCATTTTGAATGGTTCTGTATTTGTTTATTTATTGAAGATGTTTCCAACAAAAACATTGAGGTAGAGGTATAGGGTTGTCAGACCCGATCTGCCAAGGGAAAAGTTCTTCTCGAGGTGCGATACCGAGAATAAGGTGAGGCGAACCCGAGCCTTGTTCCCGTTATCGCACCGAGAGTTGGTCAGATAACCGCCCTTTGGGGTTATATGGTAACCAACCTCAGGGAAAGGTAGGTTTCATAGACGATACTGTCAAAATCGCTTGTTGCCATCACCGTTACCTGTTGGCTAGGTCTGGCGTTTGCTCCCCAAAACATTTACTCGGGTGTAAACCATTTATGTCAAGTGATTTTAATATGGTTAATTCAGTGGGTTGGCATTTCGGTACAAAGCAGACTCTGACATGTCCAGAAGTAATTCAGGCAGCGACAATGTTTCCATTCAATCTTCAATGAAGAAACAATCGCTACGCCTTATTTGTTCGAGACAGACGCTGCTAGTGATAGTGAAAACGATGATCAGCCTCGCGCATCATGGTTACAGGAAGATAAACTAGAATCTACGTAGTGGTGAGTGGACGTTAACGTCGTGAATTTATCGCGCAATATTGTCAATTCACGATCCCGCTTCCGTGGAAGAAATCGTTATGTTACAAGTTGTGTCGTGCAAAATCCTGTTGGTCATGATTCAAGTACATATTTAACTACGAGTAGAAAGTAGTCTTGTTTTTGTATCTTGATGAAAACAAACCATAATCTCATTGATTCTCTAACAGACTTTAGCCCTTGACATCACGATTTTTAAAAATGGCGGCGCCCGGTCGCGTTCATCCGCCAGTCTGAGAATAAATGCTATTTAGGTTTGTTTTCACCAAGTTACAAAACTACTTTTTACTGGCAGTATTGTAGTACTCTTATTGTTTTCGTGAGAAGCTTTCTCTAAGTGATGATTTTAATAGAAGAAATAATGGGATGTGTTTGAAATATATTTTTGCTCCAAACCCGTATGGACAATACCGTTTAAATCATTATCGTCTTCGGCGATCGATCAGCCGTTCGTATGCTGTGATCACATCAACTAGTTGACCATGTTTATGACAGCCTGGATGATAAGCCAAATTGTCTTCGTCTCTCGAGAGGATCCGTCATATTGGCAATCATAATTCCCCGAAACCCTTAATTATCATCACCTTTCATGCAGTGATCTTTGCATGTTTAGAAAGTGTAAGGGTGGCGGTGTTAAGATAGTGGCCCGTCTGTTAGGTCTGACGGCTTGTGTAATACTCTGCGTTAGGTATCTGTAGTGTGGTTCATCATGAGACTCGAGGGTGAGATTGTAGCCGGAAGATCCATAATGATTGATTTCCGGCCTTGCAACTCGCCAGAGCTGGACAAGAAGGGACGGTTGACTGGATATGAGGGGAAGTTGACTATTTTGAAGTTGAAATCATCTCTTACGGATATATATATATATAGATATAAATAGGAGTGAGTGAGTGAGTAGGTCTTGTTTCCTTTCATTCAAGTTCAGGTGGAAAAATCAATGGAATGGAACTGGCCATACACAATACGTTTTTACAATTTTATGGCGGAGTGAAAATTAGGTACGGGCGGGAGATAAAAAAAAACAAGAATAAAATGTACATGTATTTTTATTTAGTTCTCTTTAACGTTGTGTATTCTACCACTTTCGCCAGGTGTTCACTAAGAGGTGAGCGCATACTGCCCTAGTCTGTCTCACAGTCCCTGACCCACATTATTTTCCCTACTGCCAAGCCCTATCTGCAGTGCTAAAGCCCTAAATAAAGCAAGTTTAGTTTTTTTCAGGTTCTGAATCTCTGGTCTCCCTGGGACTCCTTTTCAATTAAAATGGGCTTGTTTGTTACTATCAAACTTATATATATTCAGAGACTAAGCGTTAGTCTAATACTGCCCCACACCGGTCACAAACAACTGCAGAGATCTACTCAAGTAACTTCTACTCCACAAACGTTTGTTGTTCTCATTACATTATATCTAGATGTGACTTTCACCTTGGCGATGATCAGACAAGTTAGTAACGATGATTAGTGCTAGCTTCTGTCCTTCATCGTCTTGTTCTCATCGACCTCATGCAAAAATATCCCTACCCCATCCCCGCCATCCCATCACCAATACTGATACTTTTCTTAACCACAGTATCAATCTTTTCTGCATCCTGGTTGACAAATTAATATTTGAGTTACTGTGTATGTGCACCACAGAATACAGGTATTGGTTGCTTGTTCACATGGTTTATTTTCGTCCAACGTCTTTGAAAATCCATGTAAACACTTGCGTTATAAGTCGATAAATACCTTCCACATGTTCTTAAATTACTGCGACAAGAAACCTTAAGTCGTGCATATGGATAACACTATTCTCACGAGTGTTTAAAGAATGATCCTTACTTAACCCTTCAAATTGACATTCCTCTTCCACATATGTAGAAGTTTACAGCTGCTTTGGATTGACCAGGGGGCGTGTACATACGGCAGTAAGCCAACTTCATTTATCGGGCATTGATATCTCTCCGGCGTTCTCTTGTCAGCAAGGGCGGTCAATACGTATTCTTCTTCAACAGATGATCAGATATGTTCGCCACAGCCAATATTGACACCGAGAAGACATATAGCTTATGTATTACTGAACGCTGTTCAAACAAAGACATCCTTTACTAGTAGCTTTCACTCGGATGATGTCCTGAAGGCGATGTCTTTGCTGAACCAAGGCATTCACGTTTTGCAATGAAAGACATGCTCCAAAAAGAAGTCGAGCGAGAGCAAGAAGCTGCCACACAGATTTCATTTATATATATCGTGTAATTCCACCGTGCACATGCACGGAGCAAGGGCTTGTTTTTTTGTACGTGTATATGGTTGACGTATTACTGGGTATTCGTTTCTAGATTAACACATAGATTATTTTTAACATAATGCTTGAGTGAAGTACTATAGTTAAAGATGCTTTAACTATTTTTCAAATTCTTTTCACCATATAATCTTATCTGCATCACAAGACTTGTACAAATGTAATAAAACTGTACATGAGATGCAAAATTTCGATATAATCATTGCAGCATGAAGTTTGTGCTGTTCAACTTCATTGTGTGTGTGCGCGGGCGGGCGGGCTGACTGTATTATCTGAAACCAAAAAACGGTTTTACAGTACTATCCCACTGAGATACCATACGTTATGAGTGATAACTCTTTATCCTGACTGGACGCCCCTTACATGTATGATGAATATTTGATTTCATGTTCCATGTATTGACAAACCAATTCTTTACCTTCGCTATTCCCCAAAGACGCATATTTGGCCTACGGGCACTCTGAACTTTCGTTATTACAGCTATCAGGGAATCCCATTTCTCAAAATCAAACATTAGAATGTAAATATAGATTAAAAGGGTGTCATTACACAATCAGCATCTTCTGTTAAATAGATTTATCAGTACATGCAGTACCAGATCCAGCTCAGAACTAATGGTTAAAGTGGAACATCAGCCATCCCGGGATAGGTTTTACTGGCAATATAATCCAGTCTAATAGCAGGGACAGTCTACTATGATTAGCCAAACAAGCGAGACTGATAATGGATTTCATTTCAGGAGCTCCTGGAGGTAAATGTTATGTACACTGAAGAGTGTTTGCCTCCTTGTACACACACTGATGAACGTCGTTTGTGAGGACTGCTCAAGCCTGCCTGGGTCAACAGTTAGCCGCAGATGGCACTGTGAACAAGCCTATTAATTAATAGACAAACCTTCTGAATCAATTGACACAGATGGAATTACCCCTGGGAGATGGCCGAGAAAATACCGACAGGAATACTTTAATCTCCAGTTCATTTTCACGGTATGGGCGGATCCTTTAAAACAACATGTATCTACCTCGGCCGAACATCAAAGGATTTTTACTGTAATAACAAATGTCTACTTCCAGGTACGACACCGATCAATGGTGTTTCCATTTGTCCCGTCCGATCGTTGGGATAAGGCAAGCAGGGATAATGTAGGATATTATTCACGTGTTTGTGCGTCGACGGTGTACCAAGCATGCAGTATTGTGGCGGACGCTGCTCAGTCCAACAAAATCAGTATATTTAGTAAATCTTGATTAAAAAGCAACGTTTGACCCATGTGTAAATCTTCATGTGATCAGAAGAATGAAGTTAAGAAGTGAAACAGAGAAACTTAATTGTAAACCCATGAAGATCAGGGTTAGATTTGGTCTTAAGAAACTCATGCTTGTCGTAAGAGGCAACAGTGGGAATCCGGTGTCACAAATGCTTAGATCGATGTTCATGATGTCAATCACAGGATTGTCTTGTCCTGATTCAGTTATTTTCAGACCGCCGTCATCTCGATGGAATATTGCTGAGCGATGTGTTAAACAACAAGGAAAGCCAACAACATCAGTTATGTTACATACATGTACATATGAATTTCGACGCATGACAATCACGAAATATCACATTTCGGCCAAAACATCCAAACTGTTTTCACAACTCACGTTTCAAGGACAGACAGAATTTCCAGCAAAAACGTTTGATTAAAACACTTAACACCAATTTTTACAGTATTGTCAATTGTGCACCTGTAGCATAAAGACGAGAACATATTGTGAAATTAAAAAAAATTAACTATTCTTTGGAACTGATTCTTTGCAAAACAATTATTCTTTGAACACATGTTGCTTCAGTATATCGATCTTAAGAGAAAAAACAAACATTTCTGTCCCATCACGCTAATATTGGACCATCTTCCAGATTAATTTTGATCACGTTCACAGATTGATTGTTTATCAAAGTATTGATCAGAAGTGCAAACTGTTTGAAATCAATGACTACCGAAGCCGAAACCTATTTGATAGCTGCTTCAGCGTTGTCACCAGCCGTTGGGGCATCCTGTCTTGAATATCAATGTGTCGACCACTCCGAAATACTCCCAATTGGCCATGTTCAAACAAACGGGAAATGGTGTTCTGATAAGTGTA